TACAAAAATTAGCCTGGCGTGGTGGCATGTGCCTGCAAGTCCCAGCTCCTCAGAAGGCTGAGGCAAGAGGATCGCTTGAACTCAGGAGGTAAAGGTTGCACTGAGCCAAGATTGTGCCATTGCACTCCAGCCTGGGTGTTAGAATGAGACTCTGAAAAAGAAAGAGAGATAGAAAGATGAAAGAAGAAAGGGAGGAAGGAAGGGAAGGAGGGAGGGAGGGAGGGAGGGAGAGCAAAGACCAGGGAGGAGGGGTGTTAGAATGAGGCTCGAGAAAGAAAGAAAGAAAGAAAAAAAGAAAGAAAGAAAGAAAGAAAGAGAAAAGAAAGAAAGAAAGAGAGAGAGAAAGAGAGAAAGCAAGCAAGCAAAGAAAGAGACAGACCAAGGAGGAGGGGTCTTCATCTGCTAGGGCTGCCATAACAAAGGCCCGTGGCCTGGGTGACTTAGAAAATTTCTCATAGTCCCAGAGGCTGGAAGCTCCTGATGAAGGTGTCAGAAGGCTTGGTTTCTTCTGGGACACCCCCTCCTTGGCTAGCAGATGGCCGTCATCTTTCCACCTCCTCATGTGGTCATCTCTGTGTCCTAATTTCTTTTTTGTTGTTTTTTGTTTTGTTGTTGTTTGAGACAGAGTCTTGCTCTGTAGCCCAGGCTGGAGTGCAGTGGTGTGATCTCGGCTCACTACAGCCTCCGCCTCCTGGGTTCAAGTGACTCTCATGCCTCAGCCTCCCAAGTAGCTTGGATTATAGATGCACACCACCATGCTTGGCTAGCTTTTGTATTTTTAGTAGAGATGGGGGTCTCACTATGTTGCCCGGACTGGTTTTGAACTCCTGACCTCAAGTGATCCCCCTGCCTTGTCCTCCCAAAGTGCTGGGATTACAGGAGTGACCCACAGCCCCTGGCCTCTAATCTCTTTTCATGGGGCCACCAGTCCTACTGGATTGGAGGTCCACCCTAACAGCCTCATTTTAACTTAATCACCTCTTTAGAGATCTGATTTCCAAGTATGGTTCCATTCTGAGGTACTGGGTATTGGAACCTCAACATGTGGATTTTGGCAGGACACAATTCAGCCCATTGGCTGTTGTGGGAGCTCAGAGGAGATGACAAGCCACAAATTCAGGCAGCAGGGGTGCAGATAGGAGGAGAGAGAAACTGGCATGGAAAGCTGCTGGGGGGATCCAAGATGAATCCCAGTTTTTAGCATGGACAATGGTGCCATCTGCAGAGGTGCTGGCAGGGAATGGAGATGAGGAGGGATGTGTTTCTTCTGCAGTATATGACAATGACTGCAGGCAGGGATTTGTAAGAAAACGGCTGGAGCCTGGGGTCTGAGTATTATCCTATGTGGAGGGCAGCTGAAACCAGATGTGAAGATGAGATCTCTGCCCAGAAAATGTAGAGTGAGAACAGAAGACCAGCAACCGAACCTTGAGGAAGAGAAGCTTCTGAGGAGTGGGCAGACTGCGAGGATTAATCATTTGTAATTAAGACTCAGAAACAAACAGAAGCACTAGCCATCTTCTTTCGGTTTAGCCGGAAGCAGAGTCCTACTAAACCATAAAGAAGTGATGGGAATTGAGAGCGCTAACAAGGATGAAATGATGTGAACCACGAGTTCCATAGAAAGAGAATGCAACGCGAATCAAGGAAGGAGTTATTGATGGGTCCTTGGTTTGTTAATTAGAGGTCTAGCTTTCTCTGTCTTCTCATTTACTACGTTATGCTGGTGAATTAATAGATTTCTCAACAAAAGGACATTTAAATCAATGCATGACACCTGTTTAAATTCTTAAGCAGCCATTAATTACACATTCTTAAGAAAATGAGCTATGACACAACTCTCCTAACTGCATAATTCCTATCTGTGATTCTTAATCAGACAACTTTTCAGCTGCAAGACAGATCTTCTCTATTCATCTCCTCTGGTTCTGACCAATTAAACGTTTTCTTTCGTAATCATAACACGTCATGTGCCAAATCTTCAAAAGAAAAGGAGCTTGTTAGCAACATGCCATTTCCTGTTGCTAATTTATGCTGAATTTGAATTCTTAAAAGTATAACATATACGTGTAGAACATTATTAACACATCCAGGCTTAGTGAAAAAAAAAAAAGCAGTATTTTCTTTGGCTTGATTTTATGCAAAGTTTTTAAGAACAATTCTTTTTTTTTTTTTTAAAAAAAAGCTTTATCAATTAATAATTGTATTCCTATAAATTGAGGTTAAATTTTTTGCACATAATTTGTACAGACAGAAAATACAAGTACAAATTATAAGGGTGTGTAAGTTTGTTCTGAAGGAATCAGTATTTTCTAAAGGAATTAGAATGCCTATGTAGACAGCTCTTTGGTGTTTTATAGCTAAACTCATATTTAACTCTTACTGACAGCATGTATCTTCAAGTCATTTGCTTCATAACCATCCAGTAGCCAGTATAGATTCCTTTTCCAGAAACCAATCATTCCCAGATACCAAAGTTTGAATTTGCTACACTGAGGATTTCTGACCCAATCCAGGGGCAGAGCTGGGGAGCAGTGGTCTGGTTCCTAGTCAGCCACTCAGCCTCGAATTCAACCCTGACCTGGCTAGGCCTAGCTCTTAAAGCTGCTTACTAAGCAGGGGTAAATCAAGAGTTTATGGCATTGGCAGGGTGCGGTGGCTCACGCCTGTAATCCCAGCACTTTGGGAGGTGCAGGCGGGCAGATCACCTGAGGTCAAGAGTTCAAGACTAGCCTGGCCAACATAGTAAAACCCTGTCTCTACTGAAAACACAAAAATTAGCTGGGTATGATGGAACATGCTTGTAATCCCAGCTACTTGGGAGGCTGAGGCAGGAGAATGGCTTGAACCCAGGTTTGGGGTGCAGTGAGCTGAGATTAAACCACTGCACTTCAGCCAGGCGACAGAGCAAGATTCCATCAAAAAAAAAAAAGAGTTTATGGCATAGACCAGGACCACATCTGGCCACACAGGTACAGTTACCTACTGTCTATGGCTAGACAGACTCAGCTACCCCATTTATGTACTTAGTGCCTACGGCAGAGTTGAGTAATGCAACAGAGACTGCATAAGCAAAGCCTAAAATATTTATCATCTGGCCCTTTTCCAAAAAAAAAAAAAACCCGACTTCCGGTATAGGCTATTTGCTCTTTTCAATTCAAACACCTCAAAGTACTTTGACCATGAAAACATATTCAGTCCTCCCTGAAGAAAGAGGATATATAAAGATACATTCCGGCTGGGCATGGTGGCTCATGCATGTAATGCCAGCACTTTGGGAGATGGGAGGCTCACTTGAGGCCAGGACTTTGAGACCAGCCTGGACAACACAGTCAGACCCTGTCTCTCCAAAAACGAATAAAAAAAAAAATTAGCCAGGCGTGGTGCATGCCTATAACTCCAGCTCTTTGGGAGGCTGAGGCAGAAGGACTGCTTGAGCCCAGGAGTTCGAGGCTACAGTGAACTATAATCCCACTATTGCATTCCAACCTGGGTGACCAAGCAAGACCCTGTCTTAAAAAAAAAAAAATTCTGGCCGGGCGAGGTGGCTCATGCTTGTCATCCCAGCTCTTTAAGATGCCAAGATGGGTGGATCACCTGAGGTCAGGAGTTTGAGACCAGCCTGGTCAACATGGTGAAACCCTGTCTCTACTAAAAATACAAAAATTAGCCAGGTGTGGTGGCATGCACCTGTAATCCCAGCTACTTGGGAGGGTGAGACATGAGAAGCACTTGAACCCAGGAGGCAGAGGTTGTAGTGAGCCGAGATTGCACCACTGCATTCCAGCCTGGGGGATAGAGCGAGACTCTGTCTCAAAAAAAAAAAAAAAATTAAAAACCAACAACCACCACCACCAACAAAAAACATTCTAAGCAGCAACCACTTCATTGTCTACCACCATTCGATGCAGATCTGTATCAAAAAGCAGCTTTATTTTATTATTCTTTTTTTGAGACGGAGTTTTGCTCTTGTTACCAGGGCTGGAGTGCAATGGCACGATCTCGGCTCACTGCAACCTCCGCCTCCTGGGTTCAGGCAATTCTCCTGCCTCAGCCTCCTGAGTAGCTGGGATTACAGGCATGCGCCACTGTGCCCAGCTAATTTTTTGTATTTTTAGTAGAGATGGGGTTTCACCATGTTGACCAGGATGGTCTTGATCTCTTGACCTCATGATCCACCTGCCTCGGCCTCCCAAAGTGCTGGGATTACAGGCTTGAGCCACTGCGCCCGGCCGGCTTTCTTTCATTCTTACACTATCCCCTTTTAGTTGGACCCTGTTATTCCCTGTCCTTTAAAAGAAGTCTGGAAGCAAACCATCATTTGGTCTAATGTAACACATTATGGTCTTTTGGTAGATGTGAGTCACTGATTTTTTTGCCCATTGAGTCAATATTTGGGAGCCTGCAAAATTGGGAGCTGTAGTTACTGCCCGTCATCTGGGATAGTGTGGAGTCTTCAATCATCACACTCTGTTGTCAGTCATCTGGAAGCACTGGGCTAGCAAGGCTCACGGGACATTTCTCAAGTGTCCGGCAGGGGTACACAGCTGGGTAGGAAGCTTGCCTGTCTCCATTGTACATTGCTTGCTCATCACATATTGAAAGCCCTTACAGCTTCCTGCCTCCGATTTGACCAGTCCCACCTAACGTCTACCTCCAGACCTCGCCATCTCACAGGGGACTGACACAAAGACAAGATGCCTGTGTTTCTGGTACACGCTTTTTTGCAAAATCAAAATCTGCCCAGGGCCAAATCGACTCTTCACATACCAGTCCTCTCACTAACAAAAAGCTTTTCATGCATAAATGTGGAGCTGCCCCCGCGTTCAGCCTGAGAACACAGCCAGAAAATAGGAATTGGAGAGCACAAGAAAGCCCCTCCCTCCATTCGATTATGTTCATCCTCTGAAGGCCACCAATGAAAGCAGCCACAGGTGCAGACTCTTCATGAAAGCGGGTAAACAGGGACATAACCATTCCCAACCTTTTCTCTGTCGTACCTGATCCCCTTGCAGCGTGTGCTGGTCAAGGGGTGTCTTGGTGGCGATGTTGCTGTAGTAGGCATACGACAGTTCCCAGTCCAGGGGGTAGCTGTCAATACCCTGGTAGTGCTTGTACCCAAGATTCATTGAAGACAGTCTCTCACTCCCTTGGCCTCCAACAAGACTATACAACATGCCCTGTTAGGAAGAAATGGACAAAGTGCTCATGAGACTGTAGATAGGGTCATACAATCCTGACACTGAAAGGTTATCAGATCCAGTTCCTCTACATAATCCTAGCCCTTCCAGAAATATGTTAGCTTGCCTTTTTAAAAATATAATAAAATGAAATAAATCTTTAGGGAAAAAAAGCCAACCCAATTTCCTATTGGTTCAAAATTTTGCAGCTAGCTGCCCTTCCTAATGTCAAATAGCTTAAAACGCCCTGACTGTTGCCTCTTCCTGGTACAAATGGGGCTCTTTCATGACTTCTCCCGCAGCACCTTTTTGGGTACCAGCCAACCATCCAAAGTCCCTTGTTCTGCTTCAGCGACATCATTGATGGACACAGGGTCTGGATGGCGGGTCCCATCCTCATACTCTCAGAACGTTAGTGCTGGAAGAGTCTCTGGAGATTGACTGGTCTGACCACCTCATTTCACAGTTGGGAAAGCAGGGGGAAGTTGATTCTCCAGGAAGAGGAAGTCGATTGTCCATGGTCAACCAGCCACTTTGTGGCAAACTGTTCTCATTATTCCACCTGTGTGGGGACGGCTTCGGGGACTCAGGAAAACACGCTGTCATTCAGGAGCATCTGTAAGCCAGAGGCATCACGAGCACATCACTGGACGGGAACAGGGACCCACTTGGGCACATCTCAACAGTCTGAGCCTCCCCAAACCATGAATGTACAATCACCTATGCAAATCTGAAAATGAAAAGCAGTCAGGGAATATTTCGCAGTACTTATTGTGATGGTTCATTTTGTGTGTCAACGTGACTGTGCCATTGGGTCCCCAGATGAAACATCCTTTCTGGATGTATCTGTGAAAGCGTTTCGGATGAGATGAACATTTGAACTGGTGAGGTGAGCTGTGCACACGACCCTCTTCACTGCGGGTGAGCATCATCCAGTCTCTTGAGGGCCTCAATAGGACAAAAAGGCAGAGGAAGGAGTAATTGGTCCCTTTTTGTTTCCTGCCTGCCAGCATGAGGCACAAAGACATCAGGTTGTGTTTTTGTTTCCCCCTGCCCTTGGACTGGAATTTATGGCATCATCTCTCCTGATTCTCAGGCCTTCAGGCTTAGACTGGAATTATACTCCTGGCTTTCCTGGCCCTCAGCTTGCAGACGGCAGACTGTGGGACTTCTCAGCCTCCATAATTGAATGAGCCAATTCTTCATAAGAAACTTCTTCCTATATATATCTAATCCCATTGGTTCTGTTTCACTGGAGAACCCTGACTAATGCACTTATGAAAATGTAATTCTAAATGTTAGGCAAGTTGCATAATAAATTTGGATTCAAAACCAGAAATGAAGCCGTCTGGTATGGTGTTTATTTTGATGACAGACTGCTGGATGCAGCAATACTTTGCGCTTCGAGGTCCAAGTGACTTCACTTAGCTAAAAAGTGATGTGGGATAATGGTCTCAGAGCAGAGTAATTACAAGAATTTTGTAAGGAGCACCTGTTCTTGAAGAACTGGGGTTCCGGAAAGCCCTGTCCCTGATCCTTAGCTGGTACCCCAATCGTACTCCCAAGGCCTAGTCTAGAAATAGATGAAGTGCCCTTTTTCACTGAAAGCAAAGGATCCTGTATTTAACACAGCCCCAGGACATTTATCTTGAGCATAAAGATTTTTAAAGGACTCCAAGGAGCTGCAACACGTCCAGCCTACCAGGGGCATGAGAGCACTGCTCTGCAAATATAGCATAAGTGACTGATGGTAATGAAACCATGAAATACTCTACCTGCAGCTGATCCCGAGGAACATTTAGTCCAGTCTCATAAAAGACTGCGAGGTAGTAGGATGCTTTATGGTATCCACAGCAGCTGGAATCCATCAGAAAGGGGACGATAGAGCTAATTTGGTGAAGACCATCAATGCTAGAGAGTCTCTTTACAGCTTTTTCAAATATCTTCCCCCCGATTTCTGATATAGATTCATTTTGGTTCCTTGGCACTGTAAATTACACAATTCAGAGCACATACAATTAATTACCACGGGATTGACATGGCTTTAGAAAGAAGAGGAAAAGCCAATTAAAGCACCTGAGTTATTGATATGGTCAGTCCTGCAGTGCTTCAAAATATACCACCTTCCACGGAGGTAAATTAAACCCTTTGGGGATGCCGTGGTGTCATGCTGTAAATAGCTTTCTCTTTGGCACTAAATGACAGTCTAGTATCCTGGGGGTAAGATGTGCTGTATGTAGCTCAGAAAGCGCCCCAAGAGAATAATTCACTCAGTGTAACTCACCACCAAATCAGGACCACTGAAACTTCCAGACAGACTTTTTCCCCTCTAAGATTCCCTAAAGAAGACTGTGTTTATCTCAGTAACAGTTCCTAGGTGCTGCCCTAAAAAGTTGAGCAAAATAATCTTATTTTTAGATGCTTTTTTCTTTTTTTTTTTTTTTGAGACGGAGTCTTGCTCTGCCACCCAGGCTGGAGTGGAGTGGCACAATCTTGGCTTACTGCAACCTCTGCCGCCTGGGTTCAAGAGATTCTCCTGCCTCAGCCTCAGGAGTAGCTGGGATTATAGGCACACGCTACCACACCCAGCTAATTTTTTTTTTTTGTATTTTTAGTTGAGACATGGTTTCACCATGTTGGCCAGAATGATCATGATCTCTTGACCTCATGATCGGCCTGCCTCAGCCTCCCAAAGTGCTGGGATTACAAGTGTAAGCCACCGTGCCCAGAGTTTAGATGCTTTCTAAACATCTTTTGTCCCCAGTTTTTCTCAAGGATCTAAATATAATAAAAAGAATGAGTTAACTTTTACTGAGAGTTTACAACATGCCAAGTCCTGGGTTATGTGTCTTATGTAAGATATGTCATTCAATTGGTACACCTTTATAAGGTCGGTACTATTTTCAGCATCCCCATTTTTCACACAGAGACTGAGGCCTGGAGAAGAATAACTTGTCTAAAGTTACAAAGGCTGGCAAGAGCAGAGCCAAGCATGGAGCCCAGCTTTGAAGGTCACTAAAGCCAGAGTTCACAGTCACCCTCCTGCACGTACCACAGCGAGCAGTCAATCAGTTGCCTTAATAGACTTGTCTACATGACTGCTTTAAGCTACATGAGGCTTCTTTTTACATAATTCTCCCATGAATCTACAAGCTGCTCATCATTTAAGCCCAAACAAGCAAGTTTTATGGCCCTAGAAATATCTGTTAGAGTCTTCCAAAGTCTATCTTCATTATTCATATCTATCATCAATTCAGCCAACAGATGTTTACTTTCTATTACGTGCAAGGCACTGTGCTAGATTCCATGTTACAAAAGACCACACAGGATTGCAAAATCCTATTTACATTTAACTTAAGACTTAACTTTTAACTTAAGACTTACATTTAACTTAGGACTTGAATTAAATATAAGTGTACACATAAATCATGTTGATTTAAATGTTAAGTTGAAGGTCCACTAAAATTTCACCTGCCTAAAAACTATGTCCAACATTTTTTTCTTCATTCCATCCAAAATTAATTTTTTTTTTAGAGCTCAAGAGGTACCAAGAGACTCACTCTTATCAGCCCTTCATCAAGATCGAACCGAGTAGAATCTGCAATGTGGGAAGGTTAGGGATGGGTTTACTTAAGGGCAATTCCCTTGCAGAAGTCCATGCTAAAAAAGGAAGTCGGGATCAGAAGGACCCACAGATGAAATTGTGAATGCTGACACGTTGTCAGTGAGTGGGTGCTGGTCCCTGGGGGCACACAGGCGGGTTGGGTGTTCCTGAGAAGGGGACACTGTGCTTGTGCTTGCAGACCCTGGGCTGTGGGGAAGGAGGCAGCTACCACCTTCACCAGCTCTAAGGCGTCCTCTAGCTACCGGCTCCTGGAACTCCTCCCTGCCTACCCTCTGGCTCTGCCTTTGCTTCTTTGATCGCAAGTACCTGGCACAGTAGGTGCTGAAAAAATTCACTTTACTGAACGAATGGAGTTTGTTCCTTTCTCTGTATTTTTTTTAAAAACTCCCCAGAGAAATAACAGCTTGTTGTTAAAAAAAAATGCAGATTTGTATAAAATAAAAACAGAAATCCCCTCTCCCTCAATCTTTCTTTAATAATGAAGACAAAAACTGTTAAAAGCTTGGTATGTAGGCTTTGAGACTTTTCCTTTGTATATACAATAATTCTTATCCACATCTATTTATATATCTACATACACATTTTCTTAACCAAAATGGCGTATTATGTATGCCATTGTAGATTCTGACTCTCGGCTTCCTTTTTAAAATTAACTACCACATTAGAATAACTCTCTGGGGCTGTCAGAAGCTCATTCTTTCTAATGCTTCAATAGCACTGCATTCCATAGCTGTACTATTTTCTCTATCAGGCCCCTATTTTTAGACTCCTGGGTTGTTTCCAGTGATTTTACTATAACCAACAACATGGCAATGAATATCCTCAAACATGTCCGTTTCCCTCTGCTAATCTGTTAGGATGATATCTACATGGTAACACCTTTTTTCAGCAGCAGCCTGGGGAATTTCATCTTGGATTTTCCCTTTGCATAGTTGAGAGAAGTCCATTCTACCCAATCTTTAGCCGCGATAAGGACGTGGAATACACTGAATTCAGTAGGCACTGCAGTACTCAGAGTTGCAAAATAAATTCTACTGCCACTTATTCATGTGTTTACTTTTAAAGATGTGCTCATCTCAGATGCCTCTCTGCACATTCCCAGCAAAGCAACATTAACATTTGTTAACGATTCATCCCTGCCTCACCTACTCTGCCAAATGCCTAACTAAGATGATGAGTTTTGCCAGAGTACCCGTGGACCTGAGCTTTGTGGGCTCGGAGGAGGGAAGAGACTCCAAATCAAATGAAGCTTCAAATGAAACGCCTGCCCTGGCACAGAACCCCAGAAATCATTAGCAGGAGCGCCCAGGTAGCTGAGATTGCTGGAGAATAAGGAGCAAAAAGGGAATCCTTCACAAAGCTCAAATCTCAGCATAAAAACACCTCGCAGATTGAAACACAGGCAGTTTGAAAGGGCTGCATTTTTTCTTTGTACATGAAATTCAAAACTCTCCCCCAAAATATAACCAAACAATATTTTCCCTGAAAAGGAATCTAAATACTTTTCTGCACTAGTAAATACAATAAAAAATAATAATTCTAAGGTAAAGCTGCTCATTTTGCACATTTGGTAAACTTTGAATTCCAACTGTTGCTGGAAAGCAGAGGCATCATGTCTTGAGTGATATTGTGAAACTGGCGATTTTAAAGTCAGTTTAATGAAACTGTTAATTTCACCCATCTGGCTTAGCATATGCATTTTTTTCTAGCCAATCTGTAACTAAAAACATGCCTTGTTTATGGAGATTAATGGTTAAAGAAGAAACAAACAAACAAAATAGAAGAAGCTATTTTCTTTCTTTCAGCATCACAGCAAAGGAACGAAAGCCACAGCCACCATTAATTACCCCTTACTATTTCCCATGGAGCACCAAATCGTATATTTTGCTTGTTTTCTCTTTTTCTTTTTTCTTTTTTACAGTAATTGTGCGCTCATCATTAGAAGAGGCAAAAAGGAAGACTATGAGAAGGTAGCCACTTGCTGAAAGCCCCGGGGCAAGGACCAGCGTCTGTCTGAGAATTCAGGAGGAGAAAGGCACCTCATTCCTTGGGAGAGGAATGGAGACATCAATAGGACAGTCATTTTTAGTTTCAAGCTTCTGAAAGGTGTAATGCATCCAAAGTAGAAGTTTGAAAGGGGAAAAGAAGGACAGGAGGAAATATCACTTAATCATTATAAGGAGTGATCTTCACCCAGTTGACTAGTTGATAGAAACACAGGATCTTCCTCATTTGCACTCTGACCTGGAGACCGTCATCAGGTGTAAAGGCTGCTTTCTTTTTCTCTTTCAAAAAAAAAACCTACTGGTACCTTTCTGTACTGTGTAAATTTTATTTCCTTTCTTCTTTTTTTAATTTTACTTTATTTTTTTGAGACAGTCTCGCTCTGTCGCCCAGACTGGAGCGCAGTGGCATGATCTTGGCTCAATGCAACCTCCACCTCCTGGGTTCAAGCAATTCTCCTGCCTCAGCCTCCTAAGTAGCTGGGATTATAGGCATGCCCACCATGCCCGGCTAATTTTTTTAATTTTATTTTTAGTAGAGATACGGTTTTGCTGTGTTGGTCAGGCTGGTCTTAAAACTCCTGGCCTCAAGCTATCCAGCCACCTCTGCCTACCAAAGTGCTGGGATGACAAGCATGAGGCACTGCACCGGGACTAATTTTTTTTTTTTTTAATAGAAATAGGGCTTTGATATGTTACTTAGTCTGGTCTTGAACTCCTAGTCTCAAGTGATCCTCCCACCTTGGCCTCCCGAAGGGCTGGAATTACAAGTGTGAGCTTCCACTCCCAACCCTGTGTAAATTTTCTGATTTTACACAAGTCATTTTCCTCCCTACCTTCTTCCTTTCCTTCTCTCTCTCTCTCTCTCTCCTTTCAGGGCTGTTATTCTCTGAGCAAAAAAAAAAAGCATAGTCTATTGTTTGTTTTCTTGATGTCTCTGTGTATTTTTTTTTAAACTAAAATGTATGCTTTTTAAAAAAAAAATACTAAAGATGATGGTTCTTCAACAAACAACAGGGAACACAGCTCTTAAAAGGAAGCAGTGTTCCCGATGTTTTTATGCAACATAATTGTATTTCTAACATCTCCACTCTTTGCATTTTAAGGTCTCCAAATAAACATCGAAATTGTTGGCAAGAATAAAATCAAAAGCAAAGTAGAGTTTCACTAGTGCAGCCAGTCACTCCTTGGCATATCCTGTGGGGACACCTCTACCCCCACGCTCAGCACTCCAGAGCCTGCATGCAAGAGACAGGCAGGGGCCCTGAAGGGATGCAGATGGTGTCAGCCCAGGGAGGCGAGCCCAACCTTGGAGCTGGCCCCATCCCAGAGAACCATTTGTTGGCAGACCTGGGACTT